AGAGCTCTAGAAAGATTTGGTATGGAACATTATTAAACTAGTATTGTTCCATACATAAAAGGGGATAAATTCAGCCTAATGCAATCCCAAAGAATGAGTTAATTATAAGGTAAAGAAACGAAAAATATTCTTTATGCATATATTATGGAGTTTAATGAATATACAAGTTGGTATGGGATAAAAAATTATATGCTTACACTTAGAAAGACATTTTTTAATTGGTTATTTATTTCTTTTGACTGGAAGAACAATATTATGAAAAAGTACAAAGTAATTTTTTTATTACTTTGTCTATTATAAATTTTTAATTTGTAGCATGCTTTGAGGTTACAATTTATTATTGCAGAATTTATTTCAGGATTTGGAGTTATGAGTACCATTTTCAGATTGCTGAAAATTTATGCTGCAATTGTTAATCTTCTTGTATGAAAAATGATAGGTATTCTAAAGTTGAAATACTTTATCATTAAAGAAGATGTTTAGAAATAACGAATGTCTATTGAATATATAAGCACATAACTTATGATTGCAATCCATTAACGAATGGACTACCACCCAAGACATTTATGGAACATGTTAAAAGAATGGGTCTTGAATGTAGTCAATGATGATTATTTTTTTTTTAATTGTGGATTGCCTAACAGTGCTTATATATATTTGACATTTTGCGTTCATTAAATGTGTTTATGATATTTCCTATTAGTTAATGTACATGTACGTATTGCTTTAATAAGTGGTAATAGGAATAGTCTTGGAAAAGACATTATTGTTAGACCATTATTGATACTTCTCATTTATAGACTATGTTGAATAGGTTACTAGTGTTGTGGTACATGGAAGGGACTGTGTCATTTAGGGACATACAACCGCCATGACTCACATTGGTAGTTTATTTACCATAGTATTTATGATGACCAACTTAATACCTTAATTTGATTTATGGTGCACATTAATGACTATTTTACTAAACTATTACAGAAGTTATCATATGTGCCAAGTGGGAGAATGTAAGATTATTTATTTTATTATGACCCACATGATTTGGACATGTGACATATTACTTGGTGGCTAAGTAAATAGATATCAATTAATATTATTTATTTATGGTCAACTTATAATTACCTTTTTGGTAATTACTTATTAGAGAAGTGTTTTCCTTTCTTATTTCTTACTTTAATGGAAAGTAGAATTATGTTACTAATAGGAAAACTGCTCATCTCTCTGCCTTTATAAAAGTGCATATACTCCATCAATTATGTACAATTAATGGTACAACACGTAAAAGTTTTATGTGTGCAAAAGGCCAAGAGAGAGAAACCAGTTTCCACCTTTGCCTGTTGATCAAAGTTGTAGATTAGTTCGTGGTTAAAGGATCTAGATGTTGGATTTAATCTCAACAAGATTTGATATCATGAATCGAGGTATTTATATCTAACCATTTATTTATGCATTATAGATATGTGAAAATCATGAAGTTCTAAGATCTTAGGATTCATGTAAATATTGTGATTAATGATTTGCACGAATAATTATAGTTTACAAGTAATTCATTTTTTACTCAATTCTACGGCGAAATGATTGGCGGTTGGAGCTAAGGAAAAAGAAAGAAACAGATGAATATGTGAGTGAGATACACAGATGGGAGCAAAGAGAGGGAAAGAATAAATATGTCGGGTTTAACCCTAAAAAAATGGGTTATAAAATGGGTATAACCCATTTTTGTATCTTTTTAAATTTAAAAGAAGTGTCAACCTCTTATTAGGACACGTTAGTATGCAAGACACAATTTGTCCTGATGGGGCAGGATTGAAGTATTATCCATAACAAACCCACTTTTACTAATTTACCCAACTCAGCATTTATTAAAAAATGCTGCTAATAATTTGTTTCTACATCTATGTTTTTTTAGTGCCAATTCGATCCCTCATTTTTTACACAATCACCTTTCTCCAAACATAATGGTGAATACTTTTCCTCACTAGGTTAAATAGTACAATTTCTTTCAATACCATTTGTGTTTCAAGCTCCGTTTATTTCAACGTAATATATATATATATATATATATATATATATATATATATATATTGGTGTCTGGCAAACGTCTAAGTTGAGGTTGGTCAAGTCCATTGGACAAGAAATGTAAAATAACTTACCGAAAAGTTATTTTTCTTAAGTTTTAATTTCTTTTTTTTACATAAATATTTAACGACAACCAAATACTAAAAAGTTTTTAAAAAATCTAAAATATATATTACATCCAAACAAACGAAACCTTAGAAAAAAATAATCTAAATAATGTAATATATATTACATTCACAATTAAAAATATAGTTAAATAGACCTTGATCGGGTTCCTGAAAATCAAGTTTAAAGGGGGTGTAAAAAAATAAACTTAACTTTAGTATTTAATTAGTCATTTCAAGTATTTGTCTTACATATAGTGGTATGTGGGCATTTAGCATGTTAGTGGATAGTAAATTATCTTAAAGAGAATTAGTATATAAGAGTTAGTGTGATGGTGAAGGCTATGTAAAACTAAGAATTTTGAAAGTTAAGACTAAATGGTCATGTTAGTAGGAGTTATACCTACTAAATATCATATTAGAGAGAATAATGGGTATAATTAGACATTTAAATATAATGGTTATACATATGTTTGTAAGATCTACATAATCATGTATTCTATTAATTTTAAAAATGAGAATAAGTTAGAAAATAAGCTGAAATAGTACGAGTAGAATATAATATTTTTCTAAGTGTTCCTTTTCTCAACTCCTCTTCCATATTATTGTGTTGTGTGTGTCTCTAGTCCGGCCACTTATTTCCAACAAAGTGGTATTAGAGCAAAAGCTAGCCAATAAAGTGGTATCAGAGACAAAGCCAACACTAACTACTTCAGTTCAGCAATCAAATAAATTGAGGTGTAGCCATCTGAAATCCAAAGAAATCGTTGCTCCAAATCCTACTTCAGTTCGGCGATCAAATGAAATTGAGGCATAGCTGTCTGAGATCTAAAGAAATCGTCACTCCAAATCCTTCTTAAGTCTAGCTATCCAATGAAATTGATGCGTAGGTGTTTGAAATCCGAAGAAATCATCGCTCCAAACTGCTAGTTGTGGTGTCCAAATTCAACTAAATACTCAATTCGAAAGGGTAAAATCTGCTTAACGATTGTGGTGTTGCTCCTAGAGCGCGAAATCTTATGAGAATCACAATCAACTATGTGAAAAAGAAAGAACAATAGCTGCAAATTGAATTTAGGGTTCTAAGTTTTAAGATCTACTCTCACTGAGTGTGTGCAAAAAGCAAATTAGAATAGTTGGTTGATCACCCCACACAGGGGCGGAGCCAGCATGTGCCCAGGGGCAGTTACCCCCCGCCCCATGCTGGCCACTAGAATTTTTTTTTTCTATACATAAATTTGTAAAAATTGATAAAATGCCACCCCTAAATTAATAAAAGGGTCCCTCTGCCCCTGAATATACTAAATTTTATTTTATTTTATGCAGATAATTTGTAAATATTTATAAAATACCCCATAAAATTTATAAATAATCCCCCATTAAATTATCTATTTCTAAAAATGTCTTTAATTCTTTATTCTTTTTCCACCTTATCCTTCAAATTTATTTTTATCATCTTCAAAAACTTTTGCATTCTCTTTCTTCAATTAAAACCTATTTTTTCTTTCCAAATTCAATTCTCTCTTATTTTTTTCTTTTTATTTCATGTTCTTTTTAAAAATTTCCTTTTTCTTCTTAAAAATTTCTTTTTTCTTGCACTCATGCATAATTTCTGTGCAACAACCTCTCTTTTTTTTTCCTTTTTTTTTTTTTCTCTTCTTGTTCTTTTTTTATTCACTTATCTTAATTCACTGTTGTTACGCTATTATATTTTCGGCTTGTTTGGAAAAAAATTATTTTGCCAGTGCTTACATACCCCTCTGAACCAAATTTCTGGCTCCGCCCCTGACCCCACATCAACAATTTGAGAGAAAGAGAGATCAGGTTGGTCTTGGTAGTTTTTTGGGGAAAAATAAATGCAACGCGTGATGGGTACTTGGGTAGTGTGGAGCCTTATAGATATTGTACACCAAGCCCCAACCCGTGAATCCGCTAGTGGGAGGGTATTTATTCATTCTGAACTTTCTGTATCCGCTGTTATTTTTTATTATCATAGTAAAAGTCCTTGCAACCCTTGGACGTAGCCCTGAATTTTGGGTAAACTGAGTAACATATGTGTGTTCTTGTTCTACGCCTGTTTGTTCTCTTTTTTGTATTTTTTGTTTAATTTCCCAGCATGTCATATGTGGTTATTTTAACCAATAGCTAAAATAACAAACCCACTTTTACTAATTTACCCATCTTGTTACCCCCGTTCATTAAAAAATGCTGCTAAGAATTTGCCACTATATCTATGTTTTGTTGTAGAGCCAATTTGACCCCTCATTTTTTATTCCATCAACTTTCTCCAAAACTAATGGTGAATAATTTTCCTCACTTTTCAACTGCAAGTAAGTTAAAAAAGTACAATTTCATTCGTGTTTTAGATTCCTGTTTATTTCAACGTAAAATAATTTTTTTAAAAGAGATTTTCTTTTTTAAGGTAAAATATTTTTTTATTTATTATTTTTTGCCATTTTGTAAATGTTTAAGTCAAGATTAAAGTCGAGTGGACGAGACGTGTAAAATAAGCTACCAAAAAGTTATTTTTGTTAAGTTTTAATATTATTTTTCATTGTAAATATTTCACGATAACCAAACACTAGAAAATATATATATATATATATATATATATATATATATTTGAAAAATATTTTATATCCAAACAAACAGAGCTTTAGGCAAAAATAATCTAGATCACACAATCATAAGAGTTCACAATTAAAATAGTTAAATAGACCTTTGATTGGGTTCCTTAATTAAAATCCTATTATCCATCTATGTTTTTTTCTTCAACTAATACAAAGTGTCCTCACTTCATTTCCATAGAAAGGGACTAAGATGTTTCACTCTGTAACCAAACCACCATTTTCTTGTACCATATAAATTAAGTAACAAATTATCATAAATATAACCAAGCAATCATAGATGATATGCACTTATACTCATTTCCTTCAAGGAGAAACAGGTGGGATGCTTTGTTCATTTCTGAAGAAGTTCTCCGGATCAACCATAGTCTTCACTTTCACCAACCTGTCGAAATTGTTCTTAAAATACTGAACCCCATAGACCTTAGCTTCTCCGTAACTATCCTTACCATTGCGAGTGACACCAATGTCAAGGTCTCTGTAGTTGAGAAATGCTTCTCTAGGAGACTTGGACACAAAAGGTGTCATGTGACCGTGCATCTTTCTAATCATGTCCATATATTTCTTGTCCGCCTCAATACCCTCTTCATTCCAGTTAACCGAGTACTGAATTTTAAATATATTTCCAGCTCGATGTGGGAAAGGAGTCTCCGACTCTGGAATTTCACTCATCCTTCCGCCGTATGGATTGAAAACAAGTCCTATTTTCTCAAGTTCCATCAGTTTCTTCCAAATTGACTCCAACCCATCTTTGGGAATCGGTGTCTGAACATAATCCGATTTCCTCTTAAAAAAATTCACCCCCTTGGGAACTCTGTTGAGCAAAGCGTCAACCGAAGTCCCATTATCAAAATCCGCCCAGTAAATGACCGATTGAATCCAACTCATTTCCTTGCAGTCATCTTTCTTCAGACCTAACTCCGGAAAATCTTTGTTCATGACCGACATCAGTCTATCGGCATTTCCAAGAAACAATGATATAAATGATACCTTTACGGTCTTGGGACCATTTTTCTTGGCAATCTGTGGCTGAAGAAGAAGCCTAATGAAGAGATCGTTATCGGTCTTATCGGCCACCAATTGCCAACGGTGAACAAGGTCGGTAGCTTTTTCTTCCAAATTCTTTTCCACTCGAAAAACAGTGACTGTTTCGGGAACTTTAACTAGTTTAACTTGGTAGGCCAATATGACACCAAAACTAGCACCACCACCACCTCTGATAGCCCAAAAAAGGTCCTCACCCATGGCCTTACGGTCTAAAATTCGGCCATTAACATCCACTATACGTGCATCGACCACATTATCGACCGATAACCCGTATTTCCGGAGCATAGTACCGTAACCACCTCCGCTAATATGCCCGCCAACACCGACAGTGGTGCAAACGCTGGCTGGAAAACCATGAATTTTGCTCTTTTCCTGGATTCTGTAGTAGAGTTCGCCCATGGTGGCACCGGCTTGTACCCACGCGGTCTCGTGTTCAATGTCGACGTCAATTGACCGGAGATTGAACATGTCAAGGATGACGAAGGGGACGTCGGAGACATAGGATGTGCCGTCGTAGTCGTGGCCACCGCTTCGGATTTTGAGTTGAATTTTGATGGTTTTGGCGCAAAGCACGGCGGCACCGACTTGGGTTTCGCGAACAGGGGTGACAATGAGGGTTGGTTTGGGGGTGGTGGAGTTGTTGAAGCGCTTGTTTCTGATGTGGGATTGGAGGACGGTTGGGAATAAAGGGTTGGTGGGGGCGTAGAGAATGGATGAGTTTTGGTCTGAGGGGTTCAAGTTTTTGTTGAGGCATTGAAGGAAAGTTTCATGGATTGAAGCTTGTGATGCACCAGGAAAAGGTTGGAGGGAAAAGAGAAATAGAAGAGGGAAAAAAAAAATTTGGGCAGAGGAGACATTGAAGTTTTGTTCTTCATTGTTTCCAAATGGCTCAACTTTTTTACTACCTGTTTGGAAGGAACAAGAGGTTATATATATTTTTTGCCTTACCCTTCTGACAAAAACTGACAGCCTGTTCTTTCATCTAAATGTTCCTAATTACAGTAATGGGATTATGGAAAATGCTATTTAAATCTAACAGTACCGTTTCTGCCATTTCAACACAAAGGTTTGGATACTTGGGAGTTTCGAGAACAATGATTCAAAATGGTGGGACTCCAAAGAGTGAGGGATTGCAAAATTTTGAGGTTATACAATTTTTGTGATACATTTATTTAGATGTCAAATATTGATTGGTGGCCGGATTGAAAAGTTGTTAAGGATCGGATTAAAAAGTTGTTAAGGATGACGTAGAAAGTGGTTTGAAATTGAATCACTTTTTTTTCATGTTCCATGATTCAATGCCTTGATAACAAACATAGTTGTGGTGCAAAAAACCCTGCCAAGATTACTCAATTTAGACGGATATCAGTGTGGCCAAAGACTCCAACATAATCTCCAAAACCATCTTTGTTCAAATTCTCTCCTACATAGGATGTCTTTAGGGCACTTGCTGTACTTGTATTGTTCCTTTGTTATTTAATTAATTTTTAATATATAATATCTAACAAACTAAATTACCTAAATACCCATTGTAATTACAAAAATTTCTCTTTGAATAATCCTTCCAAACACCGGCTCTTCTCTCTCGTCCTAGTTTCAAACCCAGCAAAACTCTAACTATGATGACCTTGTGGGCGGGTGCGAAATACTGACAGACTACTACACTGGGCGAGTTACGGGTGCACAATTCCACGTCGCTTGGGAAAGGGAAAGGTGAAATGCTTATATATAGGTGTGTCACTCCAATTAGTATGAGGCCTTTTGGGATAAAAACTCAAGAGCAAAACGTGCGGGCTCAGGCCTAAAGCAGACAATATCATACAATATGATGGAGTGGGTCATTACAAATGGTATCAGAGCTTGACCCAACCGAAAGTATGCCGACAGGGACGTCGGGTCTCCAATGGGGGTGAATTGTGATGACCCTGTGGGCGGGTGCGAGACACTGACAAGCTACCACACTGGGCGAGTTACGAGTGCACAATTTCACATTGCCTAGGAAAGGGAAAGGTGAAATGCTTATATGTAGGTGTCTAAGCCCAAAGCGGACAATATCATAACATATGGTGGAGTTAGTAGTTACACTAACAACAAAAATGGCAGTGCATCCACAAATCACCCCGGTCACCACCTCCACTTATCTTAAGTCCAAATCAACCCCTATTTATTTATTTATTTATTAAAGCAAATCAAATCCATATTGCTTTGTATTTTGTATATATAATGTATACATAACAAAATATATTTATTATTACCCAGTTGCGAAAAAACCCCTTATAAATATTTTTAACAGATTAGTCCCCTCAACTATCCCAAGTGGGTTTTTTAAATGGTGTCCATCTAAATGGTTGTCTGAGGAAATTTTTTGCACAAAATTACCCCTTAACAGATTATTTTTCAGATAATTTATTTATTTTTTCTCTCTTATCTCTTGTCTTTCCGCGTTAAGCAAGCATTCTCATTCTTTCAAACACAAAACTAACAGCATATCGAGAAACCCAATTGTTGAAAAATTATCTTTCTATACTGCTTAAACAACATGATATAGCACATGTAAATAATAGTTGAGGCCCAAAAATACTCAACTATATTCACTTAGGGCCTATTTGGTACGCATTGTGTTCTCAGGCATTTTGTTTTAACCTACAATAAAATAAGTGTTTTGTTATGTGGTGTTCTGAGTTGGAAACGAAAACATGTTTGGCGACAAAAATTTGCAATGGGAATTTCGGAAAAGAAACATATATAACATGTTTGGCAAGGCAAAACATGTTTGATAGAGTGAAACTGTAGCCAAAATAGGCAAACCTGGTTTGTATGAGTATTTTCAAAGAGCTTCAGATCTTTAGATTGGTCGTCATTTTCAAGATGAACCCCGTCATTTTCAGATCTTCAACTCAAGTCGCCCTAATCGCCTTTTGGAGAGCTGCGCGAGATAACCCTATTTTGTTGCAACTTTTCCTTTTATACCTGCTCGTGTATTGTTCCAACTTTTGGCAACTTGTTGCCTCTAGTACAGTAACAAATGGGCCACTCCATTCCCAGAACAAAATACAACACGTAAATCGTGTTTCACCTTTTGGGCCAAAAATGGATTTGTTCTGGTACTGTTGGCTGTAAAACAAGTCTAGACAAACATGATGTGGGCCAAAAAAAAAAAGGCTACTATAGCAGGCCTGGAACAAAACAACCCAACATAGACTACATACCAAACATGCCCTTAATCTATGATTTATTTTTATTTATTTACTTTTACTATTATTATTATTTTTTTTTTTTTTGGGTCATGATTTCATCTATGTAATTGAAGAAATCATTTGCACATAAAAAGTGTTATATTTCCTTTGGTTTCTTACCATCTTAATAATAAGAATTTTTATATAAAAAAAAAATCTTAAAAATAAGAGTTAGTAAACTTCTCAGAAATTACCCCATACACTTCGTCCACATGGTATGTAATTTTCGAGTAGTAGATGGGGAAATCAAAACAATATATGATGAGATGATAAATGTATTTCTCTTAAACTAAATGACTTAAATGTCCTTTATAATTAGATTCTTGTGAATTGAATAGAGGTCAACGATGTCATTTCACATTAAAAGGATCATATTTTTAGGTCTTTAACTTGAGTAAAATTTTAAAAAAATAATAATAATAATAAAAAAAAAAAATCAAACTTGTAAAGGAAATTATTTTACATTTTAATTGCCAATTTTATTCCACTTACCTTGCAGTAGCATAAATATTCAATTAAGTAAAAGAAATAAATTGGACTAAGGGAATATGACAAATTATTAATTATTATTTTTAAAATAATTAACTGCTATAATGGCTGCTAAAGATCAAGTGCATCGAAATAGAAAAGATCATTAATACATAGCATAGTTCAAGTGAACCCACTTAAAATCTTTATTGAACTATACTTAATTTTTTCATTTTTTATTCCAATGCCATGGTGGATTTTCTCTCTCCTGTGTGATTGTACTTAATTTTATTTTATTAATTATACATAGCTTGTAATGTTTGTGTCTTATATATGTATGTGGTGCATTTTGTTTTTATGTGGAGTATTTTGAAACAAAAAGAAAAGGGAAAAGAAAAGAAAATCGGCGGGACCCACCACCCACTCAAACATATGGTTTAGAGACTTTTTTTTTAATGCTCATTCTCTCTCCCCGCTGAATCCTCTCTCTCGGCCAGTGCTCTATCTCTTTGCCTTTTTCTTTTTCTTTTTCCTTTGCAATTAACTTGAATCTTTGATTAATTCATCATCTCTTGGTAGATTTGGGTGCCGTTTGAGGCAAAACGAAGCTTGTGTCGAGCTCTACGCATCCATACCAACAATTCCAGATTTGGTGCACCCTTTGAACTTCAAAATTTAGGACCCATTTTCTAGGGTTTGCTCATTTTTGATGTAAGGGCATCTTAATCCACTCTCTTCTTGTTCCATTGTGAGTTATGTTTTTTTTGTTGTGCTAGACATGCTAAATTTGAGAATTAATTGCTTCAATGAGGTGTAAGTGATGTTTAGATAAAATTCATGTCTTAGGGTTATGACTTGTCTATGTGAAAAGCATGTATAGATGATGGCTTTGTGGTGTTTTTTGTGAATTACACCTCTTTTATGTGCTAACATGCTTTACTTGGGGATTAATTGTGTTAATGATTATTTTAATGTTGTCTAGAGAAATGTATGTTTATGCACATGTGATGTATTATGTGAAAAGCATGCCTATGTGTTGAGTTTATGTCTACTATGTGTAAACTTGCTGAAAAGGATGTATGAGACCATACTTAATTGTATTGTGCCAAAATTTCACATTGTCATGATATTGAGATTATATGTACATTCTTGGACATGTCATTGGGATGCATGAAATGGGAGAATTTGTCTTAAAATGAAAATGAGGAATTTTTGGGAGATGATAGTTTTTGTGAAATGGTTTTGATAAACCCGGTCGCTGTAGGGTTACCAACGGGTCAGAGGTTAATATAGCCTAGAGGGGACTAGGGAGTCGCCCTAGTGTGGTTGAGCTAGCTGGGCCCCATAATGACGTCGCGGGCTTACCAAGGGTCAGGGACACTAGCCAATCCTCCTCTCGTGTCACGACAGGGTTACCAAAGGGCGGGCTGTATTAACGTTTGAAAATGATGGTTTTGAGAATGAAAATGGGGAGTGTCATTGACATGCATTGCATTTCATTGCATTGCATTGCATTGTTTATAATTGGAATTGAATTGTATGTTGTATTTGATCCCCTACGTTGTATGATCCCTATCTCCCATTGGCCTATGCTTTGCTTGAATTTACAAGGACATAAGATTTGTGTCTTAAGTGTCTCTGCTGAGCTATACGCTCACCCCTATATCTATATATTTTTTTTTCAGGTCTTGGAAAAGAACCGGTGGACGACAATCCACCCCAACTTTGAAAGTTGCTAGAAGAGCATTTTCCTTGTTATTTTGTAATAGACTACTCCTTTGTTCATCCCTCATTTTTTGTAAAATTCCAAAGGTGTAATGATGTAAATTTCTTTTAAAGAACCATGATCATGTAATACACTTATGATACTTGATGACATATGGGATGCGAACTTGATGATATGTAACTTGTTGATGAATGGAAGGATAATCCTAGCTTGAAGCATTGTCTAGATTAGTAGGTTGTATCATTATCTTTTGTTGCCGTGAATTCAGAAATTAGTTGCATGACAGGTTAAATATGCATTTAAACAGGTTGCGGTAGGTCCATTTTTAGGGGAGGTTATGCCGAAATTTTTTTTTAAAAAAATTCTTGGCATTAGTTTTGGGATCATTACATAGCTTAAATATGATTTTATTGGTTTTCCAATTTTTGTTTTTTTGGGAATTTTTCTTTGTTGCTTCACATACCTTGTTTGACGAATAGAAAGAGAAAAATAAATAAATAATTATCTGAATGATAATCTATTAAGGGTAATTTCGTCCGAAAAATTATCTCAAACAATCACTTAAACGCACTGGCTAATAGCCAAGGGATCTTTTTTATAATTTGCCTTTTAACCCATTTTGCAAGTAGTTTTTTTTTTAAAGGCAAATTAAACCCATAACTATATATATATATATATATATATATATATATATATATATATATGTAATTTTTTAAAAAAAAGCAAATCAAACCCATTTTGCTTTCAATGTGGTATATAAAACTATATATATATTTTAAATAGATGTAAACCCAGGTTTTATGTGTGAATTAATTAGTATATATATGTGTGTGTACTGTATATCGTAAGTAGTGTTTAACTGCTCTCTGGAAGTAAGAAATTATATACTTAGTTTTAATTGTAACTTTAGAATCTAACAATTAGTTAATTAACTTTTCTTTTCTTTATTTTAAAATAAAAAATTATATACTCACTTTTAATTGTAGCCTTAGGATCTAATCCTACAGCAATTGGTTAATTAACTTTTCTTTTCTTTATTTTAAAAAACTTATATTTTCTTTCCATACCATTAAATATCATTAAAGTAAATGACAGAACTAGATAATTTATTAAAGGAAATGAGAATAAAATAATTTGGCTACTTTTTTGCTTTGGTTTCTCTGTCCAGTAAAAAAACTCTTCCCATCACTACCGATTGTTTATTCAACAAATTTGCATGCCGCAACTGCAACCAAATAAAATTAATCAAAAGATATATATAAAATGGCCAGCAACTAATTTAGAATTAGGAGACTACTGTTGGCTTCATAAATTTTTTAGAAAGGTCCTACAAAACAAATCTTAATATATTATTATATATCTATTAAATGTTCTCACTATTTTTTTTTTTTTTTTTTGATAAATTAAATGTTCAAATTGTTGATCCAGTAAAAGCATGCCAAAATATGTATAATTTTTCAAGGTCCTTAATTTATAGTACTCTAATGGATAATTATGTTCTCTATTTATTTAAAATCATTTAGTATATGTTTTCAAAATTTATCAATAGAATTGATAAAGTGTGGAAAGAAACTAAAAATGATGACTTTTAACTTTAGATTAATTTTACTTCGTCTCAGCTTGCGAGTTTGGCAAAAAGTAACCAAATTATTTTATTCTTGTTTCCTTTAATAATATGTCTATTCCTGTCATTTTACTTTAATGATATTTAATGGTATAGAAAGAAAATGTAGGTTTCTTAAAATAAATAAAAGAAAAGTTAATTAATTAACTAATTGCCTAAAATTATATCCTAAGGCTACAATTAAAGGTGAGTATATAATTTCTTACTACTAGGGAGTAATTGAACACCACTATATATATCATATATATAGAGAGAGAGAGAGAGAGTCTTGATCTCTTGCTCCCCATGGAGCAAGAAAATTAATCCACACTTTCTATATAGACCGTTAGATTAAATCTAACGTCATTTTTCAAACCCACATATGGTCTTTCCTTTAAACATAAAACCACTCTTACCCTATTTTTAGTTTTTATATTTAATTTTACCATTATCATCTACGTAACAATAAAAAGTAATTATCAAAATAAAAATAGAAACCTTTAAAAAAAAAAATAATGTAAGTATATTTTATTAATAAATTTGTTTTTATTTAGATGTTTCTTTGAAAGAAAAACAATACCGTATTTTTCAATTTTGCAACAACAGTATAATATTATAGCATTTTTCTAAGAAACATCTTGTTGTTCTCAGGTGCTTTTTCATAAAACTGAAAATTATGCATTGAAAATTTTAAGTACTGAATTTTAAGCGCTGAAATTTTAAGTACTGAATGTATTAATTTAAAAACTTGTTTGATAATGTTTTAATTTTAAGCACTGAATTCATTAAGATTGTTTGTTATATAGAAAAGCTGAATTCTGAAAGTTGTACAGATTACATTTTTGCCCTCAATATATGGTACTCATAAAAAATTTATATTTATAATATAAAAATATTAATAAAATAACCACATTAATTCACTAAAATATATCGATTTAACAATGAATAATAATGTCAAATAATCATAAAAATAATTGATGAAAATTTAAAATATATGGATTTTGTATTAAATAACATTTATATAGGATATTGAAAAGGGTGCAGCAAAGATTAAAGAAAGTAAAATTTAAAATATATGAATTTTGAATTACATAATATTTGTTCAGTAGGATATCAAAAAAGGTGTTACAAAGATTAAAGAAAGTAAAATTCAAAATATATTGATTTTGGATTACATAAAATTTATGTATGGTATTGAAAATGGTGTTACGAAGAAAGTACATGAAAAAAAAATTCTTATCCAGGAATATAATTTTATAATATAAATAAGTGATAGAAAATTTAAAATATATGGGCTTTGGATTATATAATATTTATGTCCAATATCGAATGTTAAAAATATTAAAGAAAGTAGGTGAAAAGGAATTCTTATCTAGAAATAGAATTCTATTATATAAATACTTATGCTAAATCAATTTGAATAGATAACCAAATGAGACGTGTTTATAAGATACTATGTAGAACTATTATTATTATTATTGGGAATTGTGTTTATAAGATACTATGTAGAATTATTATTATTATTATTATTTTGGGAATTTGGTAGAATTATATATATTTTAAAGAATTTATTCTATAATGTAATAAAAAATATAAAAAATAAAAAGTAACAACTAATCAAATATATATAGAAAAGTTTTTCAATTTTAAAGAAATTGCAGAGAGAAGCCCTATAGAAATCATAAAGAAGCCTAGAAGAGAGCGTGATTATGGGAGGGTAGAGTAGTCATTAAAAAAATAATTTTAAAATCTAATCACTTACCATGAATCTAATCAATTACCATCTTCTGCGATAAGCAACCCTTCCCACGTTTAAAATTTTGACCTCTTTTAAACTGTACTTACCATGTTAAGCGATAACCTAAAATTTTATCAAACACACTTATTTTTAAAAATCACTTACCGTATCAAACACACTTATTTTTAAAAATCACTTACCGTGTTCTGCATTCAGCGCTTAAATAGGAAAATCAAACAGGCCCTCAGTATAAGTAAATTAATATACTTCTCTAGTATAAGTAAATTTATCAACAAATATACTGTATTGCAAATTTTGGAATATTGAATTGATTCATTGGAATTGAAATTGAAGAAAATTTCATTTAAAGTTTGAACAAAACTTCTTTCTATTTCAATTTGAAGTTGGCCATTTGGTGAAATTCATTATTGAATCTGTTAATTTGTGAGCTTGATTATTGGATGATGATGATATACTGACTAAGAAATGGAGAGAGAGTTAAATCGAGCCATCAATCTATCCTGACCACCCCGTATAAACCTCCCACTCAAATGTTTCTATTTTTATTTTGATAATTATCTTTTAGTGTTATAGTAGATAGTAATGGTAAAATTAAATAAAGAAACTAAAATAGGGTAAGAGTGGTTTTGTGTTAAAATGGTAAAATTAAATAAAGAAACTAAAATAGGGTGAGAGTGGTTTTGTGTTAAAAGAAAAGGTCATAGGTGGGTTTGAAAAATGGCCGTTAGATTCTGTATAGAAAGTGTGGATTAATTTTCTTACTCCAAAGGAATAAGAGATCAGGACTATATATATATATATATATATATATATATTGTGGTGATGGCAGAGATGGTGGGTGATGAGAATGAGGGTGGCTGTTCAATAAAATAATTTGTAAGGGTTAAAAGGCAAAAATGTGAGTGTAATTAATCCTAAAAAAAAAACTGAGACAATATTGGGCCTAGGCCTGCCTTTTGAGGCCACTCATTCTTACTAATTCTTTTGAGGCATGATCAGGCCTTGGTGGCCTCAACTGGGGCTTCATTTGGGCAGGTTGAAAATGTCAAGAAACTGAGAAAAGAATTAGTAAGAATGAGTGGCTCAGGCCTAAATTGGGCTTGACTGGGCCCATATTTGGGCTAGGCTTTGGGGCAGCTCGAAAGTGTCATGAAACTATGAAAAGAATTAGTAAGGCCACTCATTCTTTTTACTCTATCAAGTCTCACTTGGTACTTGGTAGCTAAAATTCTCTAAACCAAGTGATATTTATCAAAATTTGTGGCGTGTATTTGGTGATTGATCGACCCACCGACAGTCCACATCACGTGAGTGATATATGGTATAGAAAGGACATTAAAAAGCTCCAATTCAATCCCTCATTGTCATTCAATCGTACTTTTTCAAATTCACAAACAATGCAACAAACATACAGACTTTAATCTATGCGTTCTCATTCATACTACAATTATAATCATCCATATTCACACATATAGAAATTATTACATGCTTTCTTTCTGAATTAACCATCAATTGACACATAAATAAATATATTAAAAATATATAAGCCTTATTTAATTTTTTATTTAAATGTCTAATGATAACTTGCATCCATATATTTTTCTCCTGTTTTTTATCATAATATTTTTCTCCTTTTAACTAAGACAAAAGTGTCATCAATTCATTTTCATTGATCACTAATTCCTGCAAATGGACTGAATTGCCCATTATTATTAAAGATATTTGAGTTCTGCATAGAAAGCGGAAAAAAAAAAAAAATGTTGAACTCTATGATAAAACCGCTACTTTGGAGTACTATAACAGGAAACAAATTATAAACACAGCCACATAGATGGTTAAAACTGATGTTCCAAGCTGTCTACCTTCACTTTCCTCGATTCATGGAGAAACAGGGATGCTTTGTTCATATCTGAAAAAGTTGTCTGGATCAACCATCGTCTTCACTTTCACCAATCTATCAAAATTTCCCATGAAATATTTAACCCCGTAGACCTTACCTTCATTGTAACTATTCTTGCCATTGTGAGTAATACCAATGTCAATGTCTCTGTAGTTGAGATATGCACCTCTAGGGTTCTTGGACACAAATGGTGTCATGTAACTATATAACCTCCTAATCTGACCCACGAAGTTCTTGTCCGCATCAATCCCTTCTTCGCTCCAGTTGACCGAGTACTGAATTTTGAATAAATTCCCTGCTCGATGTGGGAATGGAGTCTCCGACGCCGGAATTTCACTCATTCTTCCACCATAAGTGTTGAAAACAAATCCTACTTTCCCCACTTCGATCATTTTCTTCCAAATCCATTCCAACCCGTCTTTGGAAATCGGAGTCTGAACATAATCCGATTTCCTCTTGAGGAAATTCACCCCATCCGAATTTCGTTCCAGTAGAACCTCTTCCTTAGTTTGGTTATCGAAATTCGCCCAGTAAAGGACGGATTCGATCCAAGTCATTTCCACACAGTCTGCTTTCGTCAAACCCAACTCCGGAAAATCTTTGTTCAGGACCGATACCAACCTGTCAGCATCTCCAAGAAATAGGGAAATAAATGATGCCCTTATTGTCTTCTCACCCTTTTTGGTGGTGGAAGTCACTGGCTGGAGAAGAACTCTGATGAACAAATCGTTGTCGATCTTAGGGGCCACGAATTGATACCTGTGGACGATGTCTGTAGCATTCTGTTCCAATGTCTTTTGAATTCTGAAAATCGTAACAACTTCTGGCACTTTAACTAATCTAATTTTGTAAGCCAAAATGACACCAAAACTAGCACCACCACCACCTTTGATTGCCCAAAAAAGGTCCTCACCCATCGCTTTACGGTCTAAAATTCGGCCATGAACATCCACTATACGGGCATCGTCAACATGATCAACGGATAACCCGTATTTACGGATCATATTACCGTACCCGCCTCCGCTCAAATGGCCGCCAACGCCGACGGTGGGGCAGACGCCGGCCGGAAAACCATGAACTTTGCTCTTCTTCCAAATTCCGTAGAAGAGTTCGCCGAGGGTGGCACCGGCCTGGACCCAAGCGGTCTCTTGTGCAATGTCGACGTCGACGGATCGGAGGTTGAACATGTCAAGAACGACAAACGGGACATCGGAGATGTAGGAGAGGCCGTCGTAGTCGTGGCCGCCGCTCCGGATTTTAAGTTGGATTCCGATGGTTTTGGCGCAGAGCACGACGGGGCCGACGTGGGATTCGCGGAGAGGGGCGATGATGAGTGAGGGTTTCGCGGCGGTGGAGGTGTTGAAGCGGCGGTTTTTGATGTAAGATGTAAGGACTGTTTGGAACGAAGGATTAGTGGGGCTGTACAGAGTATTGGGGGAAATTGGGTCTGATGGTGAGTTCTTGGAGAGACATTGACGGAAGGTGTCGTAGATTGAATCTGATAAAGCACAAGAAAATAATTGGAGAGAAAAGAGGATGAGAAATGAAGGGAGGGAAGGGTTCTTCATTGTTTGGTGTTTGGTTTAGGGTTTGTGAAAGAATTGGTGGTGTGTATTATATACACGAAGGTAAGCTGTGTCTGAAGTATTTAGTTGGATATAAAGTGCTTGAAAATGGGAAGTGAGAAGTTTCCGAAACGGCTTTATGTTTTGACTATAAATTCATTGGAGAAAAATATATATGGTAAGGGACGAAAATCTTTGTCTTGGGACAACTAGGTAAATATTATTATAATAAGGGCAATTATATATTAGTATACTCTATTCACTATTTTATGCAAAATCTTCTTTATCACATCACATGTGTACCACTGGAGAATAATATTCCCATTGAATTTTTAAGCGGCAGCTTTGATTCCTCTGTTTTACAAGTTTTTGGATTTCTTGATACTAACATCTAGAAGGTGGGATATTTGCTGGATCTAAAAAGTTATTTACAGGTTAAAAATAAAAATAAAAATAAAAAATATTTAATCTGAAAAAGGAATATATTTTTCAAAGAAGACTTTTTAGGTCAATTTTATTTACATGTTAAAATTAAAAAATATTATTCTCTCCGTCTCAATTTAAGTGTCATTTATGGAAAAATTATTTTAAGGGGACATGTGCGACATACATTTGTTTCCTGAAAAGTTACTAAATTATTTTTTTAAGTTTTAAATATTGAAATTTTAAATTTTAAACTCAAAAGACATATATGAAAATATGTCAAATATATTATTTGAAAAAAGAAAGTGCACTATTATATTGGGATAGATAAAAAAAGAAAGGAAGACACTTCTTTTGGGACGGAGGAAGTATTCATTAAAGGACGATACTTAGATCCTCGAGGATCTACAAAATACTGATAGATGTGGACCAATAATAAATGGATACGTCTTATTTTAATTATTAAATCGTAGATGATACTTCATGAAAACTCTCTCTACACAAACCATAACGGAACAATAAAGGATCTGTTTGGAATGTGCTATGATATTATTTTTCTAATATTGATTTTTCAATTTGTACTCATATTATGTTTGGAACAGCTTCTATTGATTTAAAATCGTTCATCACATATCAAATTTTTTTTTCCGTGTCACCAAATTAGTAATATTGTATGTTTTAATACTGTAGTGGATGAATTAAAATAAATTTTTGAAAAGAAAGAGAAAGAAAATTGAATAATTTGGAAAGATAGAATAAAGCTTGATGAATTGGTTCGGTCATCCTTTCAAAAATAATATTAAATTTGCCATTATTTTTATAAATGACAAAATCTCTAAAAAAGATAATGATAATATTAAATTCATTAAAAGTAATTACCTTTCCCTTTTTTTTCCCAAATATTTAGGATCCCTTTTTATTTTTCTTTGTAAATCAATTAAATATCATAAATTATTAACATTATTCTTTTTTCGTCTCAAAATAAGTGTCATACTTTCTTTATTTAAAATTTTTGATTTGAATATTCAAAATATAAAAAGACAAGTTAATAAGAAACAATGCATGTACAACATGTTTTTTAAAAAAAGTGACACTTAAATTGAGGCAAGGAAATATCTTTCGTTTACTTCTTCTTTTTTTACCATAAAATAATTTTTTATTTTTTTATAGCACAAATTAATTCACAGTTCACACGCCAAGAACTTGTGGCCAACAATATTCATTTTAAATAAAAAAAAATTAGTGCTGTGTAATGCGAAAAGCAATACGTGTTAAAATTCTACGCCTGCATACGTTGTCTTCGTAGACTTACGCGAAACTACGACAAAAGTCAGCACAAGCCATTCTTTCTCAACACTGGTTTAACAAAGTATGTATATAATTCCTACTTTATGTCGACATATCTCACCAGTAAAGTATCTTTCCCGAGAAACCAAAGGAAAATCTACATTTGGAGGGATTTGAATACATACCAAATATTAATCAAAAGTTGAAAAGTAAGCATTGATTTGAATTTTAATCATTTTCTAGAGAAACCGTCACGTAAAGATCAATTTGAGGAATGTTCAAATCCATCATTGTACGGTTTCTGACTTAGAGCATGTTAAAAAATTAATATAAATTATTCCACCTAATTGGATTATTACAAGAAAAAAATTCCAATAGATACATTGCATCATTAATATATCCTATTCTAACTTATCTTTCTAAATATCTTACAAAATTATTTATTTAGATTTTTATATTATTTTTATTTTAAAATAAAAAAATATTTATTCAATATAAATTTATTTAACTTTTTTTGTCTTTTATTCTGCAGAGATGTAAAAGAAAAGAAATGAAAATATGATACTTTACAAATTTTTATTCGTCCAAAATTAAATAGAAGAAAGGGAGAAAGATAAGTGAATTATTATAGAAATTTTAAATTAAATATTATCTTAAATTATATAAATTTTAAATTACAATAATATTCTTTATAAATTACAATATTATAATTAAATCTTTCTCCTTTTCTTCTCTTTTAAAACATAGTAAATTAAGAGCCCAATAAAAGAAGAAAATACACATCTATTTAGTAAAGATGTCTCATTCATTTCTTTTCTTTTTTCTTTTTTTCTTTCTTCTATCCATTTTTTTTTATTTTTTATTTTCCTACTAAACAAGCCATTTTGGTGTAGCTTTAATGCTAATCGTAAATCATTACGAGTTAAAATTTATTTAAAACTCAGCACGTGCCAATTTTATTTTTATTTCTCATTCTCTCACCAATGATATTGTAATAATTGCTATTTTATGTCATACGTATCTAGGGTAAAGTTTCTTTCTAGAGAACCAAAGGAAAAAGTAACTATATTTGGAGAGATTTGAAAAAATTAAAGTTGAAATGGAAGCATTGATTTGAACATTAATAAATAAATAATTTTAGACAAACAATCTTTTACGATATTCAAATAAATCATGACATTGTACGGTTTCTGACTGAGAGCATGTGTTTAATTTAAATAATTCCACTTCTTTGGATTATTAATATATATATATTTGCATGGATACCCTCCTTTTTTTTTCTTTTTTTAGTTGTGATTAATTTGGATACTTATTATTATTATTTTTTAGTTGAAGATTAACTTGGATACTTTTCTTTGCCCCCATTCATATGAATTTATTAATCGGTTGACTGGTCAAGGATAACTACTAATTAGTTAAAATTTTGAGTTCTTTTAATTTGCAATTTGAGAAAAATGTTGTCTAATAAATGGATTACATGACATTTTAAAATACCTTTAAAAAGTGAGATTCAATCCAAAAATAAATGTTTATTTAATGTTGGTGTGATTGAGATAATCAATTTAACATTATTTTAAGTAAGTGATGGTTACAGCTTTTAAGCATTTTGTAACTTTTGGAATGAATTTATGACTAATTTATTACTTGTGATGTAATTAATAATATTTTGGATAAATTATATTGACTTTTTTATTACATTGAATTTATTATTATGTTTGGACAAATTACACACTCATCGATCTTTTAGCGTTTATTATTTTAACTGTGGTTGAGATTTTTGACGTTATGTTCAACGACGCTTTTAGTGTTTTATTTAAGGTAAGGTTATTGACCTAAAATGATAATTTTTCACTTTCTATATATAAAATGCAATATACTGTAATATATTACTATCATTTTCCATTATTATAATATAAGGACGTAACTAATAGACTAATGTGTTTAGGGAAGATGAAAATAATAAATATTGGGCGATCTTCTCATGTGTAATTTATTCAAATATTAAGGGAGATCAATATAATTTAACCTTAAAATTTTTTTAATGAACATTATCTCACATGGTATGATATATGTATCACAAAAGGGGAGTTCTTAAATGTTTGAGCCTGCTAGGGATAGTAATATACTGTGTTTTCTTGAATTTTTGGAAAACAATAAACTAATAATAATTTATATATTATGTTTATTTATTTTTTATTTTTATAAATAAAACACATATATATCTATACTATTATTAAAATTGTAATGAGTTTCAGTGTTATTGTAATGAGTTTCAGTGTTTCGGTATTCTAGCGTTTCAGTATTTCAATATTTATTTATTAATATAAAAAATATTTATTAATTGATATAAAATGAGTTAAAATAAAATAATTGAAATAATTTATTTTAACTCATTTTATTTAAAATGATTTGAAATGAGTTAAAATAAAATGATTTGAAATATTTATTTGAAATAATTTATTTTAACTCATTTTATTTAAAATGATATAAAATGAGTTAAAATAAAATGATTTGAAATATTTATTTGAAATAATTTAAAGATATTTCAAATCATTTCAAGATATTTCAAATCATTTATACATAAAATAATAAAATAATTTTTCAAATAATAAAATAAGTTACCAAGGAAAATAAATCCTATAAGCTACAAATTAAAATAAATCATATTATGCTGAATTACCAATTAAAATTAAACAATTGTTTAATTGAAATTCAATCGAGATGTTTCAAATCATTTATAGATAAGATAATAAAATAATTTATGATATAATAAAATAAGTTACTAATTAAAATAAATCATATAAGTTACCAATTAAAATAAATCATATTATACTCATAATTCTTATTAAAATTAAATAGGTAATTGTTTATTTGAAAGTCAATCAAGAAATAAATCAAAATAAAAAAGTGTTTATAAATGAAATTGTTTAATTGAAATTCAATCAAGATGTTTCAAATCATTAAATAAATTACCAATTAAAATTAAATAGGTGGTTGTTTAATTGATATTCAGTCAAATAAAAAAATAATTATTAATTGATATAAACTGAATTAAAATAAATAAGTTTCTATAAATGAAATTGTTTAATTGAAATTCAATCAAGATGTTTCAAATCATTAAATAAATTACCAATTAAAATTAAATAGGTAATTATTTAATTGATATTTAATCATGATGTTTCAAATCATTTATAGATAAAATAATAAAATAATTTACCAAATAATAAAATAAGTTACCAAGTAAAATAAATCATATAAGTTACCAATTAAAATAAATCATATTATGCTAAATTACCAACTAAAATTAGATAGGTAATTATTTAATTGAAATTCAAATAAGATGTTTCAAATCATATATAAATAAAATAATAAAATAATTTAACAAATAATAAAATAAGTTACTAATTAAAATAAATCCTAGAAGTTACCAATTAAAATTAATCCTATTATACTTGGAATTCTTATTAAAATTAAATAGGTAATTGCTTATTTGAAATTCAGTCAAGAAATAAATTACCAATTAAAATTAAATCTTTAATATGCTCGGAATTCTTTTTAAAATTAAATAGGTAATTTTTTATCTGAAATTTAATAAAGAAATAAATTACCAATTAAAATTTAATATGTAATTGTTTAATTAAAATTCAATCGAGATGTTTCAAATCATTATAGAGAAAATAATAAAATAATTTACTAAATAATAAAATAAGTTACCAATTAAAATAAATTTTATAAGTTAGCAATTAAAATAAATTCTATTATGTTCAGAATTCTTCAAGGTTAAAACAACTTTAATTTTTCTATTTTATTCTATTTCTAACTCTTTCCTTAATATAAATATAGATCAAAATTTATCCAAATAATAAAATAAATTACCAATTAAAATTAAATAATTGTGTAATTGGAATATTTATTTAATGATTTGAAATATCTTGATAAAATAAATGATGATTAATAAATTATCAATCAAGATGTTTCAAATGATTTACTGATAAAATAATAAAATAATTTACTAAATAATAAAATAAGTTACCAATTAAAATAAATCTGTTGAGTAACCATTTAAAATAAAATAGTTAATTTTTTACTAAAATAATTTAAAAAATAATAAAATAGTTACTAATTAAATTTAAATAGGTAATTGTGTAATTGAAATTCAAGATGTTTCAAATCATTAAATAAATTACTAATTAAAATTAAATAATTTGTTATTTAATTAAAATTCAATCAAGATGTTTAAATCATTCAATTAGTATTTCAGATCATTTTATTTTTTAAAAATATCTTAATTTATTTTGATTGATCTATTTCACAACATGGTTCAAAATTCTTTATTAATCATGTTGATTTATTTTTATTTTTCTATGTTTGTTTAATTATGTCATGGCAGCATTTATTAACTAAACAAATAAGTTTTTTAATATTATATATTTCCTTGGTTATAAGTTTTTAAATATTATACATTTCATTATCTAATTATGTACATATTATATTAATAATTGCAAGGTTTTTCTCCTTAAATTTTAATATTGGCTACACATTTCGCTTCATAAATATTTAAAATTTTAATTACTCAAAAAAAATTACTAATCAATTATTTGAAAAAGTAAATTTATTTTAATAATATTTATATAATATTATTAAAATAAAAATTATAAAATAACTTTTCATAACGTCACATATATTTTACTAATATATATATATATATATATAATCATCAATACAAAATAATAGTGGTCAACTTACCCTAATTATTACACCTCCTAATATTCTATAGAATTCATCTATGTTTAGGTCAACTATTTTAATTACATAATTTTCTTGCATCTGTTATGTAATGCAAAATATCAGGCAAAAGGACGTATACAAAATAACAGATTGATGTGATATATATCATGACGCGGTTTATTGCTTGAATTTTTTATAAAGTCAAGTAAATATAAGCCCTCCATGTGCAATCTTCAAAGTTTGGTGGAATCAATTAATTTTAATTGTGACATTTCGTTGTTTATAAATTATAATCAAGTATGGAGCAAATAATACGTCAAAAAAAAAAATGACAGGTTGCATATGGCTTTTATACGCATACAAAAGTAGGTCATTTGGAACATGGAAGATAAGCTTGGAAATGGTGGACTGGGTCAAATCAGCCCAAAACGTGTGGACCAGGATGGGCTTGGACTTTTCAAACCCGGGACCACTTGTAGTCATTTTTTTTAGCGTGCATTTATTATTGCGGCAAGTGGACCCATGGTGTTTCAAGTTGAGAAGACGAAGGCCATGAGGCCCATGACGCACTCAATGAAAAAAAAAAGCAAACCATCATCAACTTGTGTTTTTTTGGGCGGCCCGAGTTCAACTGCGAGTTGACTCCGTGGGCCAACCCAGTTAGGTCCGAATTAAATCAAATAAGAGTATTAACAAATTTGAGGCTTGTCTTTCATTTCACAATTCAATTTTAGAGAGTGAGATTTCGAATTCCCAACCCTCAGACTTTTTTTTTTTTTTTTTTTTCTATAATTATCAAGCATAATTGATACATTCTTATTTTTCTTAAACTAAATGTATCGGCTCATAACATACGCATAATTTAGGTTAAAAGTGTGATTCGAAAGTGAGACCTCAACAATTTATCTCCTTAATTTTCTATCAACACTGTTATGTCTCTGAAGACGAAATTGAAACATAAAAGCTATATATATTTACTCATGAATTATAAAATGGTTTAAGAGGCTCACGCTTTCATCATTGACCAAAATAAAAAAATATAAAATTGGGGTACTTTTAGTAGAAGAAGATCACGATCCTATTGCATTGAATACAGCACCGATATAATGTAAAGATGGTGGAGTGTTCATGGTCCACTACCTAGCTCTTTAGTTACTCTATCATATCAAGTGACAAAAACTCTTTTGTTCTTTGGGGAATGTGGTCAATTTTGTTAAAGGAAAAAATTCTATTTTTATGACAGTCATCGATGGATTTGCAACTGAATCGTCCTATGATAAGAAACATACGTCCTATGATAAGAAACATATCCACGTTCACGCCTATGTACGAATAGGTTGTACATCTAGATTATTACGCCTTTAGTATTCAATTTTTTTATTTTTACTTTTTATTTTTTTTTCAAGAAATTATGAAATTTTACAATTCAATACAATAATCGAGGGTGCGAATTTATTGGACTAAGAACTTGTGTTGAAAGGAAGAAAAAAAAAATACTCTCGTCCATCAAACAATTGAGTTCAGTGAAAACATATTAAGTATTTGGTAACACATTTTATAAAACCACAATTAAATTACTTTATAGTTTTTAATTTGTTCAGTAATAATATATTTTTAAACACTTATAGAACTAATTTTACAATTATATCCTTTAATAATGTACTACTATATTTGTTAATAGTAATTAAATAAAAAAAAAAGTTGAAATCATCTTTATAAGAAGTAATTAATGACATAATTGTCAAATGAAAAACAATGTCAAAGCTGTTGAAAAGCAATCTCAAACGGTTGCGTCTAGTAGTTGTAATCTTGGCGCTGTCAATGAGGAAAAGAGAGAATGAATTGATTTGATTGGACTAAGAAACTCAAATTTTGCATGTGGAAGCTCGGCACATTAGTCCAACTAATCACCCTCATCTTTAAGCGTGGATGACAAACCTCGTGTACAGTTCAATCTGCAAAACGCTCAAGTTGTGCCTCGTTTGTCCAAACACAACCCATATAATATTATCATGATATGGGCTATCTTTCAATTCATATAAATTTTTAGCCCACTTCAGAATTAATTAAAATACTGAGAATTAATCGAATCATAAGCCCGAACCAAATTGGTAAAAAGATCTTCTACGCAGTTGGACTCATACTTTTAATGATGGATCAACATGTTTGTAATCACAGCCCACAAGATTTATTTATTTATTTATTATTATTATTATTATTTTTAAGTCAAAGCAAACACCCCCCGGTTTAGGGTGAAGAAATTATACCATTGGGCTAAAGGCGTAATTGCATGTGATAAGATATAATTAGTTGATAGCGTAGATAGTACGATATCATTTATGCGAGAAATGCTTTAGTTGATAGCGTAGATAGTACGATATCATTTATGCGAGAAATGCTTTAGCATTTGTTCTATTCTTTCTTAAAATAAAAAAATAAATAAAAAAATAAAAAAATAAATAAAATAAAATTGACAGGTAGGAGTTGGGAAGGATAGAGAAAAAGTTCATTGCGCCCAACAACTTGTGTAATGCTGCAACGGGCACAATAATTTTTTTTTTGAAGTGAGTGACTTGAAAATTTTGAGAATATCAAAATCTCCTACAAGGAACAGTACATTTGGAGTCTTCCATTTTGACAATTATTAGATTTGAGTTTCTAAGGATCACCCCGTTTACAATTTACAGGTACAAGACAATCATGCTAAGAAAACTAGTTGACAATTATCTTATTGTCTAACTTGGGAACATAACAATGTGCTCAGAAAGTCGGAATAAAAATTAAGGTAAGATAAACATGAATTCCATCCATATAGTTACACATAGAAAGTCCTCCATTGTGTTTAAGAGGAATTGAATACAAGTCACAACAGATATTACAACATATAAACAAATGAAAACAATAAATACACCCTGAACCATAAGACACCTAATCAGCTAACTAGTAGTAATTATAATGCAAATTACCATGTTGCCCTTAGGCAACCATTTTCTTGTTCCAACTTGCAAGAGATGGAATGCTTTGTTCATACCTAAAGAAATTCTCTGGATCCACTCTGCTTTTCACAGATATCAACCTATCAAAATTGCCCTCGAAATACTTAGTCCCCCAAACACTGGCCTCTTCATAGCTTGTATGACCATTTTTATTAACGCCTATATCAATATCTCTGTAGTTGAGATATGAACACCTTGGTGATTCAGACACATAAGGTGTCATGTAATCATAAAGCCCCCTAATCAAACTCAGATAGTGATTTGCAGCTTCAACCCCTTCTTCTTTCCAATTCACTGAGTACTGAATTTTGTACACATTTCCTGCTCTATGAGGGAATGCAGTTTCAGACTTTGAAATCTCACTCATCCTTCCACCATATGGATTGAATGTCATCACCGGCTTCTTCAATTCCATCATTCTCTTCCAAATCTTGTCGAGATCAGTTTTTGAGATGGGTTTCTGCACATAGTCTGATTTCTTCTTCGAGCACTTGTCGGATTGAGTCACTCTTTCAAGCAGAACTTTTGTTGAAGTCCCATTTGCATAGTTGTACCAGTAGAGCAATGATTCAACCCAACTCATATCAATGCAGTCTTTTTGCTTCAAACCCAATTCAGGAAACTTTTCAGTCATTAGACTAAAGAGTCTATCAGCATTTCCAAGAAACAAGGCCACAAATTTAGCCCTCACTGTGTTGTACCCCTTTTTAATTGAAGGCATCAAAACAACTCTGATAAAAAGATTTGTATCAATCTTATCAGCTATTAATTGCCACTGATAAACAATGTTGGTTGCTCCTTGTTCCAATGTCCTCTCAACTCTAAAAACAGCGACATTTTCCGGGACACGAACAAGCTTGACTTTCCATGAAACAATGACACCAAAACTAGCACCGCCACCACCTCTAATAGCCCAAAACAGATCTTCACCCATTGATTCTCTGTTCAAAACTCTGCCATTCACATCAACAACAATTGCGTCGACGACATTATCAATCGAGAGTCCATACTTTCTCATCAGATTCCCATACCCTCCTCCACTGAAGTGGCCCCCAACACCCACCGTGGGACAAACACCAGCTGGGAAGCCATGGACTCTGCTCTTCTCAGCAATTCTATAGAAAAGTTCGCCTAGTGTAGCTCCTGAATCAACCCACACAACCTCATTTGCTATGTCGATTTTGATTGATCTTAGATTGAACATGTCAAGGATCACAAAAGGGACATCTGAGACATAGGAAAGGCCATCGAAATCGTGGCCTCCACTTCTGATTCTTATCTGCAATTTATGCAATTTGGAGCAGATTATTGAGGCTTGGATGTGAGAAACATGTGTTGGGGCTATGATGAGTAGTGGTTTTGGGGTTGAAGATGACACGAACCTGAGGTTTCTTATGTAGAATTGGAGGACGGAGGGGTAGGAAGAATTGTTGGGTGTGTAGGTGATTTCAGAAATTGGTGAGGAGGTTTGAGAATTTCTAGAAAGACATTGGAGAAAGGCATCTTGGGTTGGATATGAAGTTGCCCAGAAAACATAGAAGAGGAGAGTGAAGAGAATAGAGAGAATTGCTGAACTTGGAGCACTCATTTCTTGTGAATTGATTTTTGTGTGGTAGATGAGTAAAATAATCATGTATTTGTTTGTATTTTTATTTTTTATTGGGTAACGTGCAAAAAAAACCCCTGAACTTTACTCTTTCTCTCAAGAAACTCCCCTGAACTATTTTTTTTAACCAAAAACCCCCTAAACTATCACACTTTTTACAAAAAAAAAAGTCAGGTGACACTGTTCCAGTAAACTTTGGCCGTAAAATAGTCACGTACATATGCTGTAAATTGAAAATGCCAACCCAACCCTTATATTCATATATATACATATGTTGTAGTACATATATATAAAACGTAGTATATATATATATATATAAGTTACAATACTCCATGTATTTCTCACTCCATCTTCCGAGATCGAGAACGAACAGCATCCGAAACCAGAATGTCGCCTTTGATTTGATAGAACTTGTTTGTCACCGTCATGTAAAATGATACCATTAGTCCCCCTAAAAAACAGAGGTTTAGCTTTACTTTTTTTCTTTTTCTTTTTTCTTTCCTCTAAAACCAAGCAAGATAGTTGGTCATAGTTGTCCACACTCATTAGATTTTAATCTACTATTGACAACCAAAAAAGATAACCCAACCTGAAATTCATTAAAATCGATTGACAAGGTTTTTTCCATTAAAATCGGTAAAAGCCCAACCTAAAATTCCATAACCAGCAGCAATACGACCAACCTGAAACCCCATGACTGCCGGTGCCAGCGAGAGGTTTTAAGCATCAACTAGCAGTGAAACCGGTGATAGCACAATCTCAAACTCCATGACTGTGCGAGAAGATCTAAGCATTAACAGTGCAATCGCAGCGGCCAAACTGAAGTCTCCGGCCAAAAATTGGTGCAATAGCAGCCGCCAAACCACTAAAGTCTCCGGCGAAAGAGGAGCGGTGCTACACCAAAGTTGTTGATGTAGAGGTCTCGGTGGAAGGAAAATTCTCCACGTTGATGGTGGTGGTGAGCTGGCCACCGGGCAATTCCGGTCATCCTCCCCGCCTCCGGCAACTCTATTCCGATCGTTCCAACTCCGATTATATCAAAGATGAGTCATTCTTTCCTCTAAACATTCTGGAATCGAGTGAGGAACGGTACCATGCTACCCTAGGACAACAATCAGATCCGTTTTCCAGTAAATATCGTGATATATATATATATATATATATATAGAGAGAGAGAATAGGATGCCGGAATGCTACCATCTTCTCGTATAACCAGGTCGCCGGAGCGCGACCCGAAAACCACCATGGACGACAACCCATGGTCGCCGTCCCTTTCTAAAATTATTGGGTTACTGACTAGCGATGCAACCCTCTTCAAATCGCGACCCAAGGTCGCTGCTCTTCACGACAGCTAATTTCGTGGTTCGGTGACTAGGAGACCTATACCACGGCGACACAAGGTCGCCGAGCAGTAGTTTTGGACATAGGTCACCATGAAGTTGACCTTTCCAAGCTATGATGCACCTACGTAACCGCGACCCTGCGGTTGCTTTTTCGCGACGCCGATGACCACTGCGGGAGCAGTGCCTCCATCGCCGGCCATGAAAAAGAAAGAGAGGGGAATAGAAGGTTAGACAGAAAAGAGAGATAGAAAGGGAGGAGGGGGGAGGTTCGTACAATAGTTATGTTAGTGTTGCAATGGATGAGTTAGGGTTTCAAAGCTTAACTTTCATTGGTTGGGTTCGGCCCAAACTCTGTGTGGCGTTAAAGTTTTGGTAAAGTAATAATGAGTTGTCCAAATATTATTGGCTGTTCACAATTTGTTTAACACATCAGTAATAGAAGCCAATCAACATTAAAACGACGTCCTTTTATAAAAGGGTAATTTTGTAATCAAATATCTCCGATGACCTCTTATGCCGGAGACTATTCATTTTGTCCTTAAATTGTACATTTTTGATAGATCAGGGGGCATTTTTTAATTTAGGGGGTTTTGTGCTTTTTGATGAAAGTTATGGGGGTTATATGCACTTTATTCTTTTTTATTTTATGTTTTTTTTGAGATAATGACAAGTGACAACTCTCACCGACAAAAGAATAAAAAAGAAAAAAAAAAGGTTTATTTCTTTCTTTTTCTTAACGGGAAAGAAAACTGAAAAGTAAACCGTGGGGGATGATGAGAAACTTCTTCCTCCTTTTCCTTATAATAATATAAATGAACTGCAATTATTGATGCTGAAATCCTGTCAGACCTACCCCTATCAGAGCCCATCACAAGTTAATTTCATAATGTTGTTTATATTTTTAATGCAACTTAAGAGCAAAGCCCAAAACTAAAGCCCAAGTAACCCAATCAGAGCCCATAACTATTTAATTTCATAATGTTGTTTGTATTTAATCAAACTCAGGCAAAGCCCAAGTAGCCGTATCAGAGCCCATAACTATTTAATTTCAAGATGTTGTTTATTTTTAGAAAAATGATAAAGTTGACGGAAAAAAAAATTTGACAATAGTCTTTATTGAACTCTATCTACCCTTTTTATAGACTCTTATTTTGAATGCAACTCAAGAGCAAAATTTTCAAAGTCCCAATGTGGTGTTCTCATCAGTATATTTCCAATTATCCTTTTGTGACATTTAATTTCTCCAATTTTCCTAATTCAAAACATACTTGAAACTTTCTAAAATTTCATATACCATCGGATTCATGCAAAAAAAAACCTGGAATTTATTTTAACATGCAACTTTCATTTGCCGTTATATTCCAGACCATCTTCTTTTATATCAGAGACACACACAGAGATAGAGAGAGAGAGAGTTATAAGGAAGGGATAGTGCTCACACTGATCAAGTTATGAATCTATATATGGAAATATAAGAAGGTAAACTTTTATTAGGCAAGACTATAATAACAACAACATGAACATTTATTTTCCGAACATAAGAAATAAAAAAAAAAACATGAACGTAATCCTTATAGTAAGGACCACTTTATTTATGTTAACAAAATAAATCATTTTTTTTTATACTAATTATATTATATTTTGCCCAAGTATATATATAACCACCTCACTTCTTCTTCTTTCCCCATGATGACAAAGCTGGAATGCTCTGTTCATTCTTGAAGAAATTAGCAGGATCAACCATGGTCTTCACATGTACCAATCTATTAAAGTTACCCTTGAAGTACTTGATACCCCAAATGCTTGCTTGTATGTAGCTTGTGTTGCCTTTATTATTCACTCCTATGTCAAGATCTCTATAGTTGATATATGCAGTTCTTGGATTCTTGGAAACGTAAGGAGTCATGTACCTATAAAGCCTTCTGATCCAACTCACATGCCTTTCATAAGCCTCTGTTCCCTCCTCATCCCAGTACACTAAGTGCTGAATTTTGTACAAATTCCCAGCTCTATGTGGGAATGGAATTGCAGTCTCTGAAACCTCATTCATTCTTCCACCATATGGGCTAAAGATCAGTTCAGCCGCGGCAGCCTCCTCTTCGTAAAACCTTTCCCAAATCCCTTCGAGCCCTTTTTCCGAAATCGGCTCCTTCACATAGTCTGATTTCGCTTTGAAATATCTCCTTGACAGAGGAGTCCTGTCCAAGAGAACATCAAGTGACGATCCACTTGGGAAACCGGCAAAGTAGAGGGTTGATTCGATCCAGCTCATTTCGATGCAGTCTTCTTTCACCAATCCCAACTCAGGGAAGCTTTCTTGCATCAATTGAATGAGTTCATCAGCTCCACCGAGGTACAAAGAGTTGAACGAAGCTTGTATTGTTGTTCTGTTTTGGCCTTGATAGGTGGTGTTCACTCTTCTGATGAGGATTCTGATGAATAGGTTCTCATCAAACTTGTGTGCAATGGATTGCCACCTATGTACTAGCTTGGTTGCATTTTGTTCCAATGTCCTGTGGACTGTGAAAACAGTCACAGTTGATGGAACAGTAACCAAATTTATCTTCCATGAAAGAATGACACCAAAGCTAGCACCCCCGCCTCCTCTGATAGCCCAAAAGAGGTCCTCCCCCATGGATTCTCTGTCGAGAATCTTGCCATTGACATCGATTATACGAGCATCAATGACATGGTCAGCAGCCATGATATGTTTACGCAACATCAAGCCGTACCCACCACCACTGATGTGTCCACCAACACCCACAGTAGGACACACACCTAATGGGAAGGCAAGTGTTCTGCTTTTCTCAGCAATCCTGTAGTAAAGTTCACCAACGGTTGCACCAGTTTCAACCCATGCAGTATTACTCTCAGTGTCCACAGTGATTGAATTGAGGTTTATCAGATCAATTACGACAAATGGGATTGGAGAAACATAGGAAAGGCCCTCGTAATCGTGTCCACCACTTCGGACTCTTATCTGCATGCCATGGTTTTTGGAACAATATATGGTTGTTTGAATGTGAGACTCATGGGTTGGTGTGACAATGACTAGAGGTTTAGGGGTTTCAGATGAATTGAATCGCAAGTTTTGTATAGAGAACTGCAAAATGGATGAATATGAAGAGTTGTTTGCAGTGTAGGTGACTTTGGAGATGGATGACGAGTTTTGAGAATGAAGAGAAAGACATTGAAGAAAATCTTCATGGGAATCAGCTGAAACTACCCATGAAATTGAGAATAGAGAAACAATAAGAAGTGAGAGCAATGAAAAACTTGGAGTCTTCATTTCTTTTTTGATGATTTTGTGTAAGATAGGGGTTGCTATTTATAGTAGTTTGAGGAAAGCTCGTTTGAGACTAAAAGAATGTGAACATTGGGGTTCAATTTCTTTGCCATCTACGTACCAAGCTTAGGGCGACAATTCAAGCCTCTAGATTCTTGTACTTGCACAAGAAATGGGGACACAGAAAGTTTCAAAGGATAAAGAAGCATATTTAATTGCACGCGCGCGCGCGCGCGCACACACATATATATATAACATTTTTATATTTAATAGCAATGCATAATCAAGTCACTCCCTTCATTGCCACAACGTAATGCATGCTGATCACTAGGCTCTATTGCATATAGGACTTTCAATTATTAAAACATTTATGTATTTATAATTTGGGAA